AACCTCAGTTTGAAGAAAGTTTTATGTTGACTACAGTTATAAGCTAACAACAAGTCAAAGTGTAATCAGTTCAAAAGTGGAAAAATAACTCCAGTCTTAAAAATACGGTGCAACCAGAATATATTTCACTTTTTCCACATTATGTTACAGCCTTATTCCAAATTGTATTAAATTAACCTATTTTCTCTAAATTCTGCACACAATACCCCGTTATGACAATGTGAATAAATGTTTTTGGAGATTTTTGCTAATTTATTAAAAAAATAAAACTACCGTACTTTCCGCCGTACACATTGCACCGCCGTATAAGTCGCATCAGTTCAAATATGTCTAATAAAGTGGAAAAAACATAAATAAGTCGCTTTGCCGTATTAGTCGCATCTATTATGCATCACAGCTGTTGCGTCGCATTTGTTATGCGTCACCGCTGACCACCCGGAAAAGTGGGCCGGTGTTGTGCCAAAATTCGATTGGCTGCCAAATGGTGGCCACGGGAGTGTACACAGGAGGACTTAAACAGAAATTTAACAAGAGTAACACTTATGATCTAGCTATTTTTGCCATCTTATTTTAATTTGTTTAAAAAAAATCTGTATGCTTCTTTTATGATTGTCCATTGTTATCATTCTTTGTTGAAATCAGGTCTCTCTTGTAAATGAGTCCTCGGCTCATTGGGATTTACCTGTCTAAATAAAGATTGAATGAAAAACTTAAAAACAATTATTTGTTTGCTCGACATTATAGTAAAGGTGTGTCTCAGTTTAACTTTTCCTTAATAAATGCACTTTAACAGTCAAATCAGCTGCATTTCGCCTGGGTGGCATGGCAAAATGCAGCTGATTTGACGTTTGCTCCAGGAGTTCTGGAGCGAGATGAAGGTGGCTTTATATGGCAAGCCAAGTGTCTCATTAATAGCCATGTTTAACTGTTAATGAGACACTTGACTTGCCATATTAGTCGAGGGCCCTCTAGTGGCTGAAAATGGTAGTGTTCAATATTTTCCATGTCGGAATGAATGAAAGCATCAGATCTCAGTCCAAAATTTAGTTATAAATATGGTGGAAAAAAAACACAAATAAGTCGCTTCGCCGTACAAGTCACAGGGCATGCAAATTTATGCAAAAAGATGTGACTTGTACAGCAATAAGTACGGTAAGAAACAACATTTGCATAAGTATTCACAGCTTTTGCTTAATATGACTTTTTTGATCCACCTTAGTCCACAATCCTCAAGTCTTTTTGAATATGATGCCACAAGTGTAGCACACTTATCTTTAGTCAGTTTGTACCATTCTTCTGTGTAGTACTTCTCGAGCTCCATCAGGTTGGATGAGAGACGTCTGCACAGCCATTTTCAAATATCTCCAGAGATGTTCGATCAAATTCAAATCTGGACACTAGCTTGGCCACTCCAGGATCTTCACAGAGTGGTCCTAAAGCCACCCCTCTGAGATCTTGGCCATGTGCTTTGGGTCGTTGTCCTGCTTAAAAATGAACCGTTGCCCCAGCCTGAGGTCAAGAGCACTCTGGAGCAGGTTTTCATCCAGGATGTCTCTATTGCTGCATTCGTCTTTCCCTCAATCCTGACTAGTCTGCCAGTTCTTGCTGCTGATAAACATCCCCACTGCATGATGCTGCCACCACCATGCTTCACTGTAGGGATAGTATTGGCCTGGTGATGAGCGTTGCCTGGCTTCACACCAAATAATTCACTCTTTGTCTCACCAGACCAGAGAATTTTGTTTCTCATAGTTTGAGTTCTTCAGGTTCCTTTTGGTCAAAATTTAAAAAATAAACGCTGAACAAGAGCCAGACTTCTTTGAATTTCTGAAACAGTCATCACTTGTTTGAATGTGCGTAAAAAATTTAAATCCTGTATTTAAATTTCAGATATTCCATTCACTTTGATTCAACAGCTGATCTGAGACGTGGCCCAATTGCTTGAATGAGTAACAATGCGTGCCTGTTAACTAGAACTGCCCGTCTCCTGATCTGCACCAGCATGTGAGGGGAAGTTGATGTTTTTACTCTTTTTTTCCAGAGAAAATTGTATGTAGAGAGCAATAAACAGTGTCTCTTTTAGCTGTAGCTCAGGAACTCCTCTTTTCCATATGTACAGGAGTTGAAGGAAAAAAGGTAGACACAAATGAACCAACAGTGGGGATCTGGGCGGGGGTGATTGGCAGCAACGATCAAGAAATTTTAAAAGCTCTGGGCAAATTATACCGATCAGCCTCTGGTGTTTCTAATGCAGACATGGTGTTCATCTCGGGAGCTCTCTGGTTAATTAGCAGTCCTTATTTATGTTTTCGAAACAAATAAAACTACAAGTGGACAGACACCCTTTGCTTTATTTATGTATAATAAACCAAATGTCAGATTGTGCAAAAATAAGAATGTAAAGAATCAGTTTCAAGTCATTTTGTCAGCTGCCTGTCTCTTGAGGCATGAGAAAATGTGCGATACGCAGGAGGAGTCTGGGATTGGAGACTCGAGTGGATTTCTCCCAGGAGGTCAGTTCATGTAGAGGACAGGGGATAAGGGCCATTTCAAGCATTTTGTTTTAATTGCCACCGAGACTGAAGGCTCTGCCAGCGTTTAACGTAGTGCACCACCACTAAATAACTGTGTCATGTTTCCTCCAGAAAGAGCCGACATATGGTTGGAACAACACAGCCTCTGTATGTCCAACGAGGCGTGAAGCTGGGATGGATGCAGTGTGGACATCTTGTGTTTCAGTTACTCCTTTTATTGTTGGGCTGTAAATATTAGTTCCTACCTCAACTGATTAAAAAATAAATAGATCAGTCAGAAAATAAGTTTGATCTTATATCAGTTGTGTAAGTTTCAGACATGCTAGTACCAAAGCATGGTGATTCAGCGTTGGTTACATGGTTCATTTTGTGCATAAATTTATATGATCGTTAAGAAAAAAAACATAATACAGCTTAGTATTTACAAAGTATGTCCCTGGTATTTACAAGGTACTTACCCAATACATAGAGGACATGTATATGTACTTATAAGGTACTATAAAGTACTTACCGGGTATTTACAAGGTACATACTAGGTGTACACACCAGGTATAAAACTGGCACTTGCTGAGTATTTACTGAGTACTTACAAGGCACATACCTAGTCCTTACACAGTACATACTAGGCACATACCTGGCACTTGTTGGGTAATTACCAGGTCCTTTCTAGGCACTTATAGGGTACATAGGTGGTACTTGTTGGACAGGCTACATATCTTTTATACTTTGTTTGTACCTTGTACTATGGTACTAACCAGGTATTTACCAGAATATATGGTGGATGTATCTAGCAACTTCCATCTATCTACCTGGTACTTACCTGGTATATACCTGGTTATTTTGGGGTTCTTACAGGGTACATTCTACATACCTTTTTGGTACTTAAGTAGGTTGGTATACAAGAATTGTATCTGGTACTTACTGGGTATTTAGCAGATTTTGTACATGGCTAATATACTCTGCAAGTACCAGGTATTTACTCAGTATTGCTCCCTACCTTAGGGGTCGCCACAATGAACTAACTCACACAAAGACTTGGCTATTGTTTTTTGTAATGCCAGATGTCTTCCCTGACACAACCACAGACCACTGAGCTACCACAGCCCTTTGTGTGGAGCAGAGAGCTGCCATCTAGGACACCCGGAGAGCAGATGATGGGGGTTAAGGGCCTTGCTCAAGGGCCCAGAGTGGAACAAGCGAGGGTGGAGGCAGGTGTGGGTGTTTCACCTTTCCCACCCACGTTTTGATGTTGTTGGTCCAGGAGGTCGAACCAGCGACCTTCTAATCACAGGCTCACCTTCTCTAACCTCTGTGCCACCATTCCCCTTTACTCAGTACTTACAGGGTACAATAAACAGATTGATGTTTATTGGTCGACCACTTCTGTGGCGGCAATAAAATAAACACTGAAAATCAGATTTTATTGTGAAGGCCATGTCTTTATCTGTGCGCCGCACTGTTTCCCAAATGAGCCTCAGATGTTCTGTTCTTGTCTGTTCACGTCCGGTACTGACATCAGCTCCTTCCTGTTGTAACTTTCCCACCGCTGACATGTTGGGTGTGTGTTTGACACCGCTGCTACGTCGTGTGCTTAAAGCCCAGACTGGCCTCTCCACCTGACCGAGGAAAGAGGATGGGTGGGCTGACGCTGGAAAGCGCTCTGATAAAGCGAAAGTGCTGAAGAGCGAGCAGCCTTAATGACCACCAGAAAACATACGGAAGCGCTCTGTGTTGACTTTGTGGGCTCGGCTCTAGACGTTAAGCTCAGGGACACAGGTTGCAGTTGTGTTTTTGTTTTTACTGCAAGCCCAGAGTTGGATCCATCACACTCGCTTCAAAGAGTGGTGTGTATTTATTTGTTTGACACAGCAGATGAACCCCCTCCCCACATCAGCATCAGCTTTCCCATGTGTATCTTCCAGCCTTGCCGTCTAATGAAGATTAAGGATTTGATCTGTTTTCATTCTGTCTGCATTGTTCCCAAGCTCAACGCCAAATCAAACATGCTTTTATATAAAGAAACTCCATGTTATCTCCCACAGGCAGTGCCAGAAGGTTTCAAAAAGATCTACCGGTACTTTTTTTGGAACATGCAGTTATTATATTACTCTTAACTAATGTTTGATGGACGATAAATTAATATATTAAAAAGCCACTGATGAGAGAGATGTGTCACCCATCCAGTTAAACTATTTTTCTCATGAAATTTAAACCTTGGATTTGTGATCAGCCTCATGACTTCTTTGGCTCGGTGATGGCCAAATTCAGGCTGTGATCTTCTCCTAATCTTCAGTGCACGTCAATCTTTGAACCACACATTTAATTGGAGAAAGATGGTAAATCACTATAATGGCCCGGACGCTGACATGATAATTGTTTCTTTGAGGTTACATTTAGCTTTAACAGCTTTGTGTGTGTTGCGGGGCGAATTTTCTCCAATCGCCTGGTTGTTTGTGCTCTCTGCAGAAAGACGTGAAGGACGTGTTCACGGCCATCTCGTTCGAGGTGGCGTACGGCTTGGGGAAGCATGTGGTGACTGGACACCAGGAGCAAGACCTGCCCGCTCTCACTCCGGTACTGAGGTGGAGGCAAGGAAACAAGATTGCAGTGAAAAATGAGGTACACTGTTGATTATTGCCACTGACCACCAGCTAAATGTGGATGATAAGACTTTTGCTCACGTGTGTGCAGGCCTGTCACGATAAACAATAAATCATTTAATCGCACGATAAATGAAAATTATCCACCTCGTTTTCATTTATCGACTTTATCATTTCTTCATGTCTCTCTTTCTCCTGAAGACACTGGATGACAAAAAGTTCAACTCTGGTGCTCTTCACTGACCCCTCCCTTTCTCTTTTCTCTTTAAAATCCATTTTAACCGTCCAAAATCACGTTTTTGTATCGTTAAAAGCAGCTAAGCTGAGAAGCTAAGCTACAAGCGAATCTAACAGGCCGACCTTGGGGAACAAACCTCCGTCTTGTCAAAACTCGAAAATTTCCTGTTGAAACCTGTGCCTTTGTGCAAAACATTTTTCTCTGCAAAAAGAAGCTGAGAAATTGTTTGCTGATTTTTTTATTTTTATTAAAAAAGCTTGGTGTGAAAAATTCTATGCTAAAGAGCTCAAACCGCACCGAGCGTCCACCATTTTGAGAACCAAAGAGAGCCAGCCCATGTCACATCAAGGAGCCTCCCTCCCATTTTTCTTAAAGAGACACGCTGCTCGCTCCCTCACTATCCATCCTTCGGTTCTGTCTTATGCTGCCATCCAGTGGTTGAAAAAGGTACTACAGACAAAAAAAATTAACAAACATTTCATCTTAAATTTCACAATAATTACTGATCATCGTCGAATTTCAAGCAATATTATCGTTTATCGCAATAATTTCTGAGACAACTAATCGCCCAGCAAAATTTGTTATCGTGACAAGCCTACGTGTGTATTTGGGCGGAGGTGGGCGTCTGGTACCAAATCATTTCACAAACTACTGGACAAAAGTTGATCAACATAAGCACATTTAACTTAATTTTGTAAATTCTGACTGATCATTACCAAAACTATCCAACAAACCGTTGCAGGGATTTCATGTCTTAAATGAGTCTTTTAATAAGGAATAGGCCTTAAAATTCAACAAGAATCTATAAGGAGTCTAAGATTCTGGTCATTGCATTTTCTATACCACACAGCAGGGGTGGGCAATGCAATGACTGTAGATCATGAAGGATTAAATGATGTTGACAATCTGCCAAAGCAAAGAGTATTGTCTATTGCAGTGGTTCTCAAACTAGGGTCCGTGAGCCGGTGCTTTGGGGTCCGCAAAAAAAAAAAAAAAAAAAAAAGGCAGATGTTTAACAACCCATTAAAATACACCAAAATGCGTTCCGGCATAGATCGGTTTACAAATGAAGCTCTGTTACTTGGTATGACAACTGTTGTGATGATTATTTCCTTTTTTATGTAATAATAATTTGAAGAAGTGGTGGTACATATGTGAATAGGTAAAGGTTTAAAGTGGTTTTTGATACTGTTAATTTTCTCTAAACTGTAATTTTTGGAAGTTGAAATTACAATTTTTGTTTATTAAATGTGTCTTGAATGAAAAACACCCTATGTTTAAAAGTAGAAAAAGTGTATTAACACTATTAAAGAGCAGGTCTTGCGTATTTATGTTACACAAATATTTTCCATTGCATTAAAGAGACAAACTGATGAAAATTATTTAATGAACATGAGAGTTAAGTGGGGGTCCCTGAAACTTTTTCTCCCCTGTAAGGGGTCCCTAAACCCAAAAAGTTTGAGAACCCCTGGTCTACAGTGTTGCCAGATATACATTAATTACTGTATATATACTATAGTGTTAGGGTTTATACCAGAGCTATTCAAGTAAATTGCTTAGGAGCCACAGTTAAAATAAAATGAAATTATCAGTGGGCTGGACTGAGTCCACCCATGGGTCAGATGTGGCCCTCGGACCACTAGCTGAATAGCCATTCCTCACAAAATCAGTTTTATCCATGGTATAAACATTCAAGACAAAAGATGTAATCATATAAAAGTATATTTTCAGTTATTTGAGTTTAAAAAAAGTAACTCGCCAGAGGCTAATCAAACATTTTTTCTGTTTTTTTCCAGTTTTCTGCAAACATTTATTTTGCTGTGTGCATTGTTTAGTTTCTATCATTCTTTGTTCTTGTTTAGTTATTTGACCTAAAATTTGACAACACTAAAACATGCTTCTTTTTTTTCAAATAATCAAAAATCCACATTTCAATGAAAATATGTTCTTCTTGCTCCTCAGGCAGGGTTTTAAATATATATCGATGCTCACTGTGTTTGGGCTGATTGAAAGATTCACCTCACACCTGATGTAAAAATGTTGTTTTTTGTGAACTACATAATGAATGAAGGGAATTGTTTTAATGGGGGTGTAATGATTTGGTTTGGTTACCAGCTACTTGAGTTGGCTGTCCTTGAGTGGAATCCAAAAAGACTGACGTCTTTATTTTCTTTCTCCAATAACCCCCACCTGTGTTTCTTCTGTCTAGTTTTTGTGATAAATAAGAACTTATAGTTGTGTTTTTTACAATATACAGAAAGTAAGTTACACCGCTTGAGCTCATGCATTATTCAGCTTCATATTCTCTGACTAGGCAAAAAAAAAATGTAAAGTTGTTTTTTTGTTAAAAAATAAAATCCCTGGCTGTTTGTAACACCACACAACACTGCCCCCTGGTCTGAAGACGTGCATGTGTGTTTAGTGAACAGCATGAGGTCATCCTGACTGTGTTCTTTCATCGTTTCCTCCTCAGACCTGGTTTGAGAAGAACTGTCTGTCAGACGACTGTGCTGCAGACCTGAGGCTTCACGGGAAACTGCTGCTTTCTGGGTAAAAATACAAAAGCGCCAAAGACATCACACTTAAGAACGCTTCTGTCAGACTCCAGTTCAGAGACTGACATCATAGGTCAAGTGGGTGTGGGTAGAGGAACCATGACGCACGCCTGGAGATTATCCATGTGTGTGATCAGAGTTAGGGAGTTACTTTTTGTTTGTTTTTTCGTCATTCTGCTTTTTGTGTGAATGTTTATGAAGCATATGTTGTGATCCATTTTTCATCTGTACATTTTTCATCATCTTTCTCATTCCACCTTTTTTGCACTCATTTCAATGTTTTTCAGCCTAATTCAGCAAAAAAAAAGTGCTTTCTCCGCTTCCTTCTGGTAATTTAAGCTTCTTTCTGCTTTTTTAGCTACTTTTCAGCTGTTTTTTGCACATTTCAGCTTTTTTCAGCTCATTTGTTGCTTCCTTAAGCCTAATTGGTATTCTTTCTGCTTTCTTCTGCTAATTGACGCTTGCTCTAACTTTCAGCTACCTTTTTAAGCATTTTGTAGCAAATTTCAGCTATTTTCAAATAAATTTAAGTTTTTCATCTTAATTTCTGCTACTTTCAGCCTCATTAACTTAATATGCTAATGTCTGCTTGTTATGCTTCTTTCAACTTTTTTCTGCTAGTTTCTGTTTTTTCTTCTCTTTCTGCTACTATTTAGAACTTATTTATGCTCATTTTTAGCTTTTTCAGCTTTTTCTATATATTTTTTAGCTCATTTCAGTTCTTTCCACTTCTTTTTGGTAGTTTAAGCTTCTTTTTGCCCTTTCAGCTACTTTTCAGCTTTTTGTGCTAATTTCCTAATTTGTGTTCTCATTTCTGCTTATTTAAACCTAATTCAGCAAATCTATGTTCTTTCTGCTTTCTTCTGCATATTAGGCTTGCTTTCTATTTCAGCTACATTTCAATTTTTTTTTCTAATTTCAGCTGTTTTTCAGCAAGTGCTTCTGCAATTATACAATTCACACTGCATTTTCACAGGAAATGCAATTTCTCTAGTTAAGCACTAGTTTTTGTCACTTCTTCTACCAAGATTGTTTTAAACACAAAATCGAGTTTACTTCTGCAGGCTTTAACTATTTTAGCTAAGTGTAAAACCTAAAAATGCAAGTTTTTGCCTGATATACAGCCAAAAATGTTAATTTTTTTTACCACATGTTCCATTGTTTGTTTTGTGTTGGTTTCAGGCGACATATCAAACCCCATTTGGCCCTTGGAGGAGTGAGGAACATCTCCTTAAACGTGACCATCTTCAACGCTGGAGACGACGCATACGACACCAACGTCTACTTCAACTTCTCCAGAGAAGTTTTCTACATCAACTTCTGGCAGAAGGTCTGTGGCTCATGAACTGCTTGCGGTTTATTTCATCTGATGCACGTTTGGTTCTGTAATATTGTTTTGCTTTAGAAGCACGGAGGTGAAGCTGACTACCAGATGCAAAACAATATTTTACAGCAGTGTTCAGTATTTCCTCAAAAATACGCTGTAATTGCACGAGTTATAAGTAAATACATCACAGTTAAAAATAACACAAATACATATTTCCACAGGATATTATGGTAAAACTTTACTGAGATGCAGTTAACTATCTGTAAGTGGCAAAAACGTGACTTTTATTTTGTGCAGCAGAGAGATTTAGGTGTGTTACATCAAATAAACTGCTTGTTTTAAATTATTTCATGAGAAATTATATTGGATTAAAGTTAGGATGTTAAATACATTATAGAAACAATTTGTGTTCCCTTTTAGATTTAATCCATGGACAACAGTTTAGTTGTTCTTTAATTCAAAATTCACTGTTTTGACTTCCTCATATAAAACTGGCCCAAACCATGATACTACCACACTGTTGTTTTAACGAATAAATGAAGGTTATTCCCTTCCCTAAAGTTTTTTTTTTTTTTAGTTTGACCATTGAAATTACTGGAAATTTCCAAGAGACAACAGTTTTTTTTAACGTTGCTTTTTCAGAAATGTGGTTTCCTCTTTGCTGCCCTCCCATTTAAATCCCTGCAGTTCCGAAAGCCTAAGCCAGAGAGGCTTTTATTTGCTTAAAGTTGCTGTTCTTCATGACCTCATCGACTATCACCTGACTCTGTGTTCTTCATTGACCAACCGTTAGGTTAGTAACAATGGTCTTGAGCTGTCCTCAGTCAAAACCTGTCTCATTATGAAGTGGCGAAGTTAAAACATTTCAAATAGTTTTTGTTTTCAGCTTTTTATGTCATGTGGTCCTCAGAAATCCCTTTTCTTTGTGCAAGATTTGACTCTTTAATGAAAACAGAACAACCTCCTGTTTGTGAGACTCACTGATTGAAAACACTCAATTCTACACATCAGAGACGTTCACTACCGTCTTTAGTTAATCTTCATACTGCTACACACACTTATAGAAGTTTGGCTGTTTAAACCCATCTGAAATTGTGCAACTGCTTTGAAAAGAGTAAAGAGGGCAAACACACAACAAAATCATTTAGAAACTACAGTCACAGCGACTGGTTAGGCATTCGGGAGCCACTCAGGAAATCAAACCAGCATCCTCCAAGTCCCTAGCCATGTTTTCAACCTCTAATCCACAGCTGCCCCAACTTCATCATTTTTAATGAAAGAAATGACCATAGTCAATTTGTCTCATTAGTTTAATTGAAGAAGTTTAAACTTTTTTAGAAATATTTCTTATATTTAGTGTTACTGTAATTTTCGCCATATAAGGCACAGTTTTTTTGCATAAATTAGCATGCCTGCGACTTATACAGTGAAGCAACTAATGTACTTTTTTTAGTTACCATATTTATAACCTAATTTTTGGCTGAGATCTGACGATTTCATTCATTCTGACATGGAAAATATTGAACACTACCATTTTCAGCCACTAGAGGGCCCTCGAATAATATGGCAAGCCACGTGTCTCATTAATAGGTAAAAGTGGCTATTAATGAGGCACTTGGCTTGCCATACAGAGCCAGCTTCGTCTCGCTCCAGAACTCCATGAGCAAACATCAAATCAGCTGCATTTAACCACGCTGCCCGAGCGAAATAGAGCTGATCTGACCGTCAAAGTGCATTTATTAAGGAAAAGTTCAACTGAGACACACATTTGCTATAATTTTGAGCAAACAAATAATTGTTTTTAAGTGTTAATCTTATTAAATTCTTGTTAAAGTCCTCCTGTACATGCTCCCGCATCTGCCATTTGGCAGCCAATCAATTTTTTGGCACAACACCGGTCCACGTTTCCGGGTGGTCAGCGGTGACACGTAAGAAACGTGGCGCATCAGTAGTGACACATAATAGATGCAACTTATACGACGAAGCTATGTATTTAGGTTTTTTCCCACTTTATTAGACATATTTGGACTGATGCGACGTGTACGGCAGCAAGTACGGTAGGTACGAAGAAATACAATAATGAGAAGATTTGCTTAAGTTTTCCACTGAGATGCACATTTTCTCAATTATAGTGCCTTTAAAAAAGACTACATACATTCCCAAGTATACAAGAAGGATCCAGTCTAAACAGTGAAGTGCATGAAAAAAGAGACATTTCAGTGTGAGAACTGATGAAGTAGTTTTCCTGCATTGTGTGTAGGTTGAACAGAAGATTAAAGGATAAGGACCAGGGGAGCACCAGCACGAACAGCTGTCCTGCCTCAGAGGGCAGCTCCTTTAGCTGACCTGTCATACGACTCTGTGACTCATTTATAACAGACGGATCGTGTCAACAACAAAGAGTTATGTCTATGAGAACGTGGCCGAAGACGCAGATCACATATTCCCACAAGTTTGACTTACATACCATTTCAAATTCACGTCTCAAGCAGCTATGAGAAGAGGTCGTTTTAACAGGCGTTTGTGGAGACGCTGGTCGTAGGTACCTTCACATTTTGCCATATCCTCTCACTTCCACCCCTGCATTAGTCGATGGGTTTCCCAGCAGCCACCACTGCCTCTGCACACATCTGTTCGCTCACTTGTTACAAAAAGAAGATGAGTGATACGCCATGAACAGAATGCTCTGACAGCATCCGTCAGGACAGCTTTTAGACGCCACGTTTATCCTTCTCACCCCTGCGATGGATAAAACCATCCCTGCAGAGCACACAGCCTGTGGCATGGCTTAAACTCCCCCTCTTGCAAAATTGATTTGAAATAAAATACACCCAGACAAATATTAAAAATATCAAGTCTACGTCTATTTCATAGCTAATCTAATGAAGCCAGCTGACAGTAGGTGTATGGTTACCAGCAGCCCCGAAACCTCATTTTGACCAGGAACTTGATACGTCAGGGGGACCCGCTTCTCGAAAAGACAAGGAAGTGATGGGCAGGAAAGGACTAGACAGAGGCGACTAAGCTAATTTATTGCTGTATGCATTTTCTAACATTCTCATTACTACTGAAAACATCAGAGGTGTTGATGTGACCCCGTTTTGTTGAGTTAAGGTTAGATAACCCTCCTCTGAGCCTTTTTCTCCACTGACTTAAGCCTGACTTGTGCTCCCCCACATGTTAAAGAAGGACGGGTGTTGTTTCAACCACACGGGCGGTCAGAGAGATGTGGAGGTGAAGGACTTTTAGGAGAACTGCCTTTCCACCAGACAGGAAGGAAGATTTGTGCACTTCTGAATTTTCTTTTAAACAGTGAAGCAGTTGATTTTAAGATTTAAATTTTTGTAAATGGTCGTGCCAAATTATAATCTGTGAAGAGCAACAAAATGGAAAAGGAAAACCCATCTGTGAGATATCCTGATTCATGCACAATAATCCAGGTAGAATAATCTAGCAAAGTTAAGTCAGGTCCTCTGGCCGGTTTCTTTTTGTTAAAACGTTTCGTCCTTCTGGATTATTGAGCATGAATCAGGATATTTTGAACCATTTTGGCCATAACTGCCTCAAACAAGTCGGCAAGGGAGAGAGCTGACTCCAGAAACCATATGAGCACCATGAAACTAGTTGACCCACTATGTGAAGGTGCTATTTATAAGATTGAGTTTGTTGCAGCCCCTCAGACTTATGGATGGATGAAAGATGAAAAGTTTCAACACAAAGAAACCATCCAGAGGACCTGACTTAACATTGTTGCATCTGCGAGATATTTGGATTTTTCTTATCTCTGCATTTTTATTGTTGGTGTACTTTGTATGTGTAATTGTAGCTTTTATTCTAATTTTTTATTTATTTGGCAATATACAATTTAATGTTCCCATAAACCAAGGCTTGATGTGTGGTCAGCCTCATCACACTAAACCATCCAACAAACCACCACTGCTTCAACTGCAATATCAGCCCACTTTTCACACATGAACGTAGACATACAGGGGCTACATTACTTTTGTAAGGCTGTGGATAGCTTTAGGATATGCGCTTGTCTGAGACCTGGATGTTCTGGTTTTAGGATTTTGTTTAGGATTAGATTTCTTTCAATGGCTGTTACTAAAATGAGAAGGTTGTTTTAATGTGTGGTTTTATTTGGCTTTTTTTATGACTTACCCCAGTGCAGAGGTACATAACCTGTAGAATCAAAAGGAATATTCATGCCCCTTCGCTCAATAAATAAAATGTGTACAGAGCTGAAAAACCTGTGATTATTAACTGATGGCCCACTTCTAGTTCACTGAGGGGCCTTTTTGGGCCAGTGGGGGTGGTAACCCTTGAATTTAGGCTATAACTCATTGTTATTTATCGTACTTTCTGCCATACACATTGCACTGCTGTATAAGTTGCATCAGTCCAAAAATGTCCAATAAAGTGGAAAAATACATAAAAAACAAGTCACTTTGCTGTATTAGTTGCATCAATTGTGCGTCACTGTTGACCACCTGGAAACGTGGGCCGGTGTTGTGCCAAAAATCGATTGGCTTCCAAATGGTGGCTGTGGGAGCATGGACGGGAGGACTTTAATAAGAATTTAACAAGATTAATACTTAAAAACAACTATTTGTTTGCTCGTCGTCATAGCAAAGATGTGTCTCAGTTGAACTTTTCCTTAATAAATGCACTTTAATGGTCAAATCAGCTTCATTTCACCTGGGCGTCGCGGCAAAATGAAGCTGATTTGACGTTTTCTCCAGGGTTTCCAGAGATAGACGAAGGTGGCTTGGTATGGCAAGCCAAGTGTCTCATTAATAGCCACTTTTACATATTAATGAGACACTTGGCTTGCCATATTATTTGAGGGCCCTCTAGCAACTGAAAATGGTAGTGTTCAATAAAGTCCATGCTCAATAATCTGGCTCTGGCCTCAATAATAAGCTGATGAAGCCTTCTGGATCGAAGGCGAAACGTTTCAGCACAAAAAAAAGCAACTGTCCAGATGTCCTGACTGAAAAATGTTGGGTAGTGTTCAATATTTTCCATGTCAAAATGAATGAAATTGTCAGATATCAGCCAAAAATTGTATTATAAACATGGGGGGGACGTATATTAGTCATTTTAGTGTATAAGTCACAGGGTATGCAAATTTATGCAAAAAGGTGCAACTTGTATGTCGAAAAGCACAGTAAGTACAGCATACTGCCTATTACATTAAAAACTAAAAAACTATAATAAATTCTTGGATTTATTGGGTTTTATTTACCTGTTATAACAAGAAAACAGCCATAATCATGTAAAAAAGGGAACAATTTTATAAGTAGCAACCTTTTATTTACTTCAATTTCAATTCTAGTTTTGTTTAAAGTAAGCTTTTACTTCTACTTTTTATTGTTAGATTCAACATACTTGTTTTTGCAAAATGTCATCTGTTATTAGTACTTTGCTTAAAGCAAAAGCTTATAAAATGTTTTACAGCCACATTTCTGGTGATTTAAATTTTGGAACATATGGGCATTGTGGTGAAAAGCCCAGAAGTTTGTAACGCAACTGAGAAAAGTGCAAATTTTAGTTGACCAGTAAACCAGAGTATTTTTGAATCATTGATATATTTTGGCTTTTAAGTGAGATTTTTCAGAGCTCAGATGTTGAAACGCTTCATCCTCATACATACAATGAAAGCAATAAGTAGGTGATGACAGTAGCTTGGCCAAAATAAAGCCAAATATTTAAATACTCAAACTGAAGGACACTTAAAAAGACAATGCATTCAGAAAAGAGGCGTCCTGTGTATCGTCATCCACACTACTTAAATTCAGCAAACAGAATCAGTGTAAACAGTCCTAGTGGCATTTAATGGCTCTGCCACTGTTGAATATCCAAGCATGGATTTGTTTCTGCCAGAGAAAGGGAGTGAAGAAGTGCTGAACAAACAGACACTGTCACCTCTCGCTGTAGAGGAACCGTTCGCTCTGGTCCCTCTCAAAGGCTGCCAGTTGGGTGACGGGTGAAAAGGCAGATTTTTTCATGATTACCCCCGATCCCGCCCTGCCCCATGGGGCAGGCGGTGTTTGCACAGCAGCACAGAGGGATACAGGAAACGGAGGAAATTCCATCATTGCCAGTTATGCTTGGGCGCCCCCTTCCCCCTCTCACCCTTTGCTGGGCCCTCCATGGGCTCCCAGTGAAAGGTGGCGCTGCTTATTTTAAAAGACTTTTAAGATAATTTTAAAGTGATTTTTCTATTAAATAGTTATTAATAGTTAGTACCCCAGCAGCCATGACATCAGTCATAGCGCAAAGCGTATGGAAAAAGAGGTAAGTCTTTGATCAGGCTATACGCTCCTTAGTTTAGACGTTGAAAAAGCATTTGACAGAGTTGATTGGATGTTCTTAGAACAAACCCTCATTGAAACGCGCTTTGCCGAGAGATGCATTAAATGGTTCAATTTTCTATATACAATCCCTAAGTCTAGAGTAAGAGTTTTTTTAAATGGGAAGAGGAGTGAGACAGGGAGATTCACTGTCACCTGTCCTCTTTGCTCTAAGCATCGAGCCATTGGTGGAGGCTATACTCCAAAAATATAGATTCAAGGAATAACGGATGGAGAAGGAACGGTCCACAAAATTGCTCTCTTTGCAGATGATGTCTTGCTTTTTATAAAACATCCAATCACATCAATGCCAGCGCTTATGCAATGCTTAGATACATATGCAGAGATATCAGGATATAAAATAAATCAAAACAAATCAGAAATGATGATGAGGTCAAGGAAGTGGCCTGAGGAATTAAATAAAATGGTGTCTTCCTTCCATTGGTCTAATAAGGGCTTTGGGTACTTGGGGATCACTCTGACAACTCACCCCACAAAATTATTCGAAGCTAACTACACTGAGTTAATAAAACGACTAAAGAATGATCTGATCCATTAGGAAGTCCTCCCACTCTCGCTATTAGATAGAGTTGAAACCATAAAAATGAATTTACTTCCTCATATTCTTTTTTTTGTTCCAATCTTTGTCCATGTGTTCCCTATTCTCAATAAACTAAACAAATTAATATCCCAGTTTATCTGGCAGCACAAGAGAATAAAACTTGACACTTTATTTGCCAAAAGATAAAGAAGGAGTAGCTTTACCTAATTTTAAACATTATTACTGGGCAGCTCAATTAGCTGCCATAGTCACTTGGATTAGGGGAGATGAGGAACCAGTTTGGACTCAACTAGAGCAAGATGAACTGAAAAGTATATTATTGTCAACCTGGTCTTTTATTGATTCAAAATCTGTCATTAAACTGAAAATTGAGAATGAATGGATTAAACATACTCTGAAGATTTGGATGGAAGTTAAAAAAATGTTAAATGACACAGGATCAATATCTGGAGCTATTCCAATAGTGGGTAATATAGACAACCCCCACCCCCCACCCCCACACACCCATATGGGACCAGGGATTTAGAAAATGGGACATCAAAGGTCTCATCACATTCAATTGTTTGGACAAACAGGTTTTAAATCTTCCTCACAGATTAGGGAGCAGTTTGATCTACCAGCAAAAGATATGTATAATATCTACAAATTAAGAATTACATTATGGACCATAAAGACAAAGAGAGAATTAATAAAGATCCACATTATATAGAACAATACATTATTTCCATTTTAGAAAAGAAAATTCCAACAAAAATGCATGTTTCTAATTTGTTTAAGAGTCTCTCACTTGATATTAACCAGAATACCTGGTATATTAAAGAGAAATGGGAATTGGAGTTGAATGTCTTGATAGAAGATGAAGTATGGGACAACCTGTGGAAAGACAGCCATAAAGGGATTAATAGTCAGTTATGGAAATAATATGACTGGAAATTGAGTTAACATCTTAGCATGTGACTGCTGGTGGAATCAAACCCCCAACTCTTGAATTGGAGGACAACTGCTCTAACCATTCAGCCACAGCCGCCCTGGAATTAATAGTCTAAACACTAAACACATTGTAACATGGAAGTCTCCATATACTCCATGCTCTATAAGGTACTAACTATTTGATAGAACATCCCTAAAGATCACCGAACTATCTCTTCAAAGAGGAGGAAGGACACAGCTAGTGTGCTGAAGGACGGGCAGTCGGAGCGGGCGTGGACAGCTTTAAACATGTCAGCAGAGACGACCCCCTCACCGCTTCCCTTATCGTTTTTAGAAGCATGTTGTAAACACAGACCAAAACTGGACGGCGTCCCACGCAAGCAGAGGCTTTGCAAAGGCCATTGTAAAAATCCCAGAAGTCCTTTTTATTTTTATCCTTACAGTTGTGGGGTGTCTGCACTCCCTGAGCACAAGCTCAGCTGACAGCCTCCCGGTGAACTCTCACTAAAAGAATTCTTACTGCTCACAGGGTCGAGACCTCCGTGTTTATACAGCTCAGCCCGTGAAGCTCCATATTGTTTAGACAAGCTTCCAAACACACCGTCTGGCGGTTGTCCAATTACCCACCCGCTAAGACGTGTGTGCCATCCCAACTTTGTGCATACTTTGTTTAACATGATTTAGAACTCCTCGAGAGACTCGAACCCTTTGCTTTACTGATCTTCTGTTATCAAACTGTAAATGTTAGGAGGTTTGTCCCCCTGAGGCTACGCTGCTGCAGCTGGATTTGTATTTATTTTACAATCCAAAGCTTCTGCCGGTCCTTTGTTCCTGAACTTATCAGAACTGATTGCTTTGTGTTCCAGTCTGCCTCCTGTCTGCTGGAGCTTCCTCTCCATGTCATCTATCTCTGTTCATGTCACCCAATCTGTCTCCACAGTCTGTCTCTGTCCCCTCCTCTCACTCTCTATCTTTCTTTTTGCAGGAAGAAAAGGGTATTTCCTGTGAGCTTGTCGATTTGGATTTCCTCAAGTGCGCAGTGGGATTTCCCTTCATGAGGGCACAAACTAAGGTAGTTTGTAAGATTTGGTACAAAATATCCATACATGGCATTGTTAGATATTCTCTAAACTCTATTAGCTTAAGTTTCCAGTTGACTACATGTTATGGATGGGGAATGTTTTGTTAGTATGAACTTGTTTTATCAAATCATTTCACAATATTTTATTTTTCTAGTATCATTTTGCAGTGATTTTTGACACAACTCGACTTTCTGGGGAAAATGATACGTTGCAGTTTTTAGTTCAAGCTAAAAGGTAAGGCTCCCAAATCTTTGTGTTTTTCTAACAACAGTTATCACCTGCCTTGCATGGTGGCAGGCAGTCATTCAGCTTCCTGTCACTGTGTGTGAACACAATTCAAAATGGCTACCATAGCTAATACGCCTTAGCAACCTCAAAAAATGGCTATAGCTCTATTATCCTGATGCATGCTCATGCCTTTTACGGTTTGACTCTCATCATCCTCTGAAGCACAAGTTAGGAGTCATCAGGACTCTGTACCACAGAGCAGACAGCATCCCCACTAACTCAGGAGCCAGGCAGAAGGAGAAATCCCACACAAGACAGGCTCTAGAGAAACGTGGATATCCTAACTGGGCCTTCCTGAAAGCAGAGAAGAAACCCAAACAGGACTCCAGCCAGCCATCAGGTGAAAAGAAGGAACCCGGACCAGTGGTCATTCTGTATGTTGCAGGACTTTCAGATAAACTGAGACGTTTATTTTTTAAACACAACGTCCCAGTGGCTTTTAAACCCCAAAATACATTATGACAAAAACTGGTCCATCCCAAAGATCCAGTCCTCTGACACAGAGTAATATTGTGTATGCTGTTCAGTGTCAGGAGGGCTGTGATCAGTCTTACATCGGGGAAACTAAACAGCCACTAGGCAAAAGGATGGACCAGCACGGAAGAGCAACAACTTCAGGCCAGGACTCTGTAGTCTACACTCATCTACAGGCCAGTGGTCACTCTTTCAGGGATGAAGATGTTCACATCCTGGACAGAGAGGAACGATGGTTTGAGAGAGGAGTAAAGGAGGCCATGTTTGTGAAGAGAACCTGTCCATCAATAAACTGGGGCGGAGGCCTCCGTATCCAGTTGTCAACCTCTTACAATGCTGTTATTGTTAGAACCACTCAGCCTTCTGTGAATATCAAGCGGCCATCAGGGCACTAACAATCGGTCATTAGGCTGATGGTCCTCCTTTTGCATGTGAATTAGTTTTGTCTGTCACCAGCAAATTGGTTGATCCACTATGAGAAGATGCTCCTTATAAGACTGAGTTTATAGCAGCCACTCAGAATGAAGAAGTTTATTAGATAAAAGATAAAACGTTTCAAAAAGAAGAATCCGACCTGAGGACCTGACTTAACTTTGTTAGATATAGCTCTTAGTCTTATTAGAGATTTGATAGACATTTGCAACACATACTTTGAACATCAAAAATCATGCAAGATTTTTATTAAAACTAACAGGTATTCCTTTTATGCATGTCACTTCATTGTTTTTTCAAAAAGTGTATTTGTTTGAATCAAAATTACCACTAGTTCATACTTTAGGGGATTGAATCTGAGTGTGTTTTGTGTCTTTCAGCGCCAATCCAGAGCACAATCTCTCTGATAACAGTTTAGATCTGTCCATCCCGCTGATCCATGAGACAGACACCACCATTACAGGGTAAGAAACAACAAAAAACATGATCTTTCATCATTTTTTGTGACTAGTATACAAGTTTAAAGCTGTCTTATGTACATCAACAAATGAAGAGCGTGACTGGTTGTCGATTTGTTGCGTCTCAGGAAAAGTGAGAGCATTTTCTTTTTCTCCATATGGAAGATATTCACTTGAAATATCTTATCTCTGAATGCTTTATCACAGCTCTGCTTCACAGAGGAAGGGGAACGATGTAAAACAGTCCACATTTGCCAGAACTTTGACATTTGATAAGACTGTTGTCTTTAATGTGGAGGGAGGCTACAGAGTAAACCTGCACACAAATCCCCTAAAGAAAACACTTCTCTGCCCATCTTAACATGACTGAAAACAGATTTTTAAATAAGCACGCTGTTTAATAATGTAGTATATTCTGTTTTTCACTTGAATCCTGTGGGTTATGTTTGCAGTGTGGTAACACCAAACTCCTTTGTGTATGGAAACTCCATCGATGCATCGCGTTTCGTCCAGTTGGAAAACATGGAATGCAACTTTCAGCCTCTAAATCTGACTTTCCAGGTATTTTAAGTACAAAAAATACACAGTTTTTTATATATATATTTTTTTTCCTCATCTCCATCGCTCCCTGTCTTTGTGTGGTGTGTTTCCAGGCCATAAACAAGGGCCCCAGCAGGCTGCCTGGCTCCACGGTGGACATCAGGATTCCCAACCGGCTGGCTGGAAACGGAGCTGACATGTTCCACGTCATTGAAACTCAGGTGGAAACCAGCAGCAGTCTATCCACAGTACATATCCAGCAGGAATCATTATGATATATTAGTTTATTCACCTGCAGGTCGCCACATCTTCAGCTTCTTTGTGGGTTTTTTGTGCTTCTCACTGTGTTGGCGTCCAAGTCAGACGAGTTTCTGCATAGAGAGCTGTTAAACTGCTGGGCTCCTGGTTGGCAGTTTTTCCAAGTGTTGGGTCTTACTGGAGTTAATCTAATCCAAACTACTGATGCTGCCACTGAATCTACGGGTTTAATTTTGTCTCAAAATATTTTCCGTTTAGATAAAGAAGCATGATACTCCCTCTGCATGTAAGTGTTTTCTTAACCCTTGCATTGCACTTCTCATATAGGTAGATTCAGAGGGAGCTCAAGCTGTTAATTGTATTTACTGTGAATTGGGGGCGGGGGGGGCAGCATTGGTGTATCCCACCTCCTAGAGTCCATCTGGAATCACTTTCCTGGGATCAGTCAGCTTGCACGAATGAGGAATGGGACACCTGTGGGGCTGGCTACTGCCTCGTACCACCCGGAGCCTGAAACAACAATTCTTAAACTTTCACAACATCATCCAGCCTGTGGCACACCGGGCAGTCACAAGTTTATATTTATATCCAGATGCATTTGATTTGGTCAGATGATGTATGCATTTTGTGCTGTTACTCCATATGTTAAAGCTTTCCTACATATAATCCTAAAATTCCCAATATTTACTGTAAAAAAATCTTCTTATGGAGAATTTTTAAGTTAAATATACTGTTAAATTTGCCGTATTTGTACTACAATAAAAGACGTGCAGGGAGGCAGAGTAAACAAGGAAGGCCAGAGGAAGGCTCTACTTCCAGAGCTTCACGTCGGACAGAGAAGAGGGGAAAGGGGAAGTGCTCCCTGGAGGCTGGGCAGTAAAGCAGACACCTCTAAATCACTCTGTATGGGAAATCTGTCAGGGGGTGGGACCGGCATGTTGCTGCTGCGAACTTCCTCAGATTTAATGCAATAACAGAATTGGGCCATTTATGGTGACAAAAGTGGACAAGTTTGTGTCAAATCCAAGTCTGAGCCTCAAAAGATGTCAGATTTTCTCCACACAAACATGAACATGGAACATATTATCAACTATTTTACTTCTGTGCCTGATAGTATATACTTGAGTATTTTAAGTTATTTCAAAACCTTGGACAAAACACAATCTTATTGTTTTTAGGGGGACACAAAGATGTGAAATTTTCTCTTTCAGTGCAGAGGCAGACCTTGTCTTTATTTCCACCCAAATTTAACACATTTTTTGTTTCATTCTCATTCAACCTTTATTTATACAGATAAATCTTGTTGAGCCTCGAAGACGTTTTTACAAGTGAAACCTGTTTAGACACAAAAAAGTAATGCAAGTGACAACATGTATAGGATTTGGAGACAAAAATTTCCTAACAGACTCTCATTCCTTGGCCGAGGAAAGATAGCCTGAAATTGAAAAAATACCCCGCACATAAGCAAACAGTGACGCAGACATTCCTCAGGGGAGGGAGAACGACAAGTCACTGTAGGAGTTCTGATACGAATGGTATAATCAGTCAGTTCCCTCTGGTGAGATCCGTAAACATTCTCCAAGGGTGCCAAGGTCAACCTAGGACAGCCAGAGAGAATCCAAGAGTCCTGAAATGATGACGCTATGTTTATTCATCCGGGTCCCTCTGATAGGTCTGCAGACTTCCTCGGTGGGAGGGGGGATTGACAGAAGGCAACATTAGGGAAAGTGAATCATTCTCTCATTAACATTAGCTGTGTAAGTAACAGTTCTTAAAGTTTTAATTTAGGACTTTTCTGGTCACCTCTCGGATTAGCCAGTAGTGTGCGAAACTGGTCAGAATGACCATAAACTCTTTTTCTAAACCAAGGCAGTCCAAAAAACTGTCTAGAACACCAACGGTTCATGCTCAATAATCCAGGTTACAAATCCAACAATGTTCAGAGCACTGTCTAAAACAGGTAAAATATTGTTGTTCTTAGCCTTTCCTCAGAAATTTAGTTAAAAAAAATCTGAGCTATCACATTCATATTTTTGCCTATAAAAAATACATTTTCCTCTTTTTTGTTTATAACAACTTCCTGTTTTAGGTGGCGGACAGTCGAGGGAACTGCACCCCTCACAGGAACCCGACACCATGCACCATCCCCCAGGACAAAGAAAGCATCTTCCACTCCATATTTGCCTTTTTCACCAAATCAGGGCGCAAAGTCTTGGTAAACAACATTGTCATTGCTTTTTTTTTTTTTTTTTTACATTTCAGAGCTCACTGAGAGTCGCCTCCTGTGAGGATTCATGTCTCTTTAATTTAGTGCAACATCTGTTAATGACAAATCCCTTTTCCAGCTTTCCAAACCCACTCTGTTGCTTTTTTGTTTTGTACAGGACTGTGACCGGCCTGGGCGAGCATGTATGACTATTTCCTGCAGCCTGGGTCCACAGCTGAAAGAAGAAGCTTTGAGCATAGAAATAAAACTCCTACTGAACACTGAAATTTTGAAAATAGTAAGGCACATTTCACAATGTCAACTGATTTATTTTATTGTGATCATAACAGAAATAGCAACTCGTTGTCTCTTCCCCCCACAGGATAGTTCCTCTGTGATCCAGTTTGTCACAAGGGGCAGTGTAGAAGTAAACGACAGGGCAGTGGAGGTGCCAAACGGCCTGCCAGAAGAACTTTCTGTGAGTACATCATCTGCAACAGAGCCAGATATCTTTGTCAGTACTTGGCTGTGACAAAGTCTGAGTTTAAAATAGGCGACTAATTCACTTTTGGTCTTACAAAATATGGTTAAAAATCATTGAGGAATGTTCTGTAAAAATACTGGAGCTGCAGCATTTGGGGTTGTGGTAGCATGGTGGTCAGTGTCGTGATCTTGTAATCCTGAGGTTGCAGGTTCGATTCCAGGTTGCGCCAGGAAGGGCTTTTGGCATAAAACAAATTGCCAGATCTTTCATGTGAATTTGCTCGCTGTGGTGACCCCTGAAGAAGGAAGCAGCTGAAAGAAACTTACTTTTACTGTAAAAATGTGGAATTGAAACAACCTGCTCACCTTCAAATGACTCACTAATAAGCAGTTTTGTAAGATTTATTAACTGTACTTTTCTTAAATATTTGAACATAATCCCCTCTTGCAGGAGGGATTTGGTTAGGGTTAGGGTTAATAGTCTCCTTGCTGGAGGGATTATGTATCCTCTTTGGCCTGGGAGTGCCTTGGGATCTCCCAGAAATACCTGGACAGAGGAATGTCAGAGTTCCCCTTCTAAATCTGTTGCCTCTGCTACCCGACCATGAATTAGTGACAAGAAATGAACGGATGAATAGATGAATGGATGGAATTTTGCTGGTTTAGGGGGATTTCTAACTCCACAAATGTACAACGTTGCTTCATGTCAGCTGATGTAAAATAGGCAGCTGTTTGCCGTGTGAACTTCTTGAACCCCTTGTTTTTATAGTGAAGGACAAAGCCTGATAAAGAATGAAAAATACACGAGTCAGCAAATGTTTCCCGCATGGTAAAAATGCAAATATTCATCTGGCACAAAAGTTAATCACATGCACCCTCTGAGAAGAAAACTGCAGCTTGGAGGGTTGTGTCTCACTGATCTGTTAGGATTAACATCAATCAGCGAGTACATGTATAATATTACTATTATATACACACTCAGTCGTGCTGTGATTAGAGTTTCTCTGCACTGAAGTGCTTTCCTATAATAAAGGCAATGAGTTCAAGGAACAGCTGGGAGCTGTGGGTATGGTTAGCCTTCGACTGTTTTTGGGGTCCTCAGCTGTGCACAAGGACAAACTCTCCTTCTACTCCTCTCTGCTGAGTGATTAAATGGCCCCTCAGATCAAATTTGTCAATTACGTTGAGCACCTAGCACGCTCACTAAGGAGACCTCTTGAGAGATTAGGGTGCTGACTGTTGGCACCCTAACTGACCCTGAGCTGCAGTGGTGCTCAGAAAAGTCTGACCTGCTCAGAAAATGTCCATACCACGCTGCTCTTTCAGCTCTTAGTGAGTGTACTTATTCCTGCGATTGTTGCTCCTCTAAGGCTTTTGTAAACATGGTTACCCTTTCCCTCGGGGTGACCGCAAGCCGGAGCACCAAGAGCAAATATGATGTGTGGACCCTGGTTGGACTGCTTACAGCAATTCTACTGGCTGTGATCAATAGGCTCTTTTTACTTATGACATGCAAACAAACCCAGCAGGTCCATATGTTCATCCATCCATCCATTTTCTTCCGCTTATCCGGGGTCGGGTCGTGGGGGTAGCAGCCTAAGTAGGGAGGCCCAGACTTCCCATATGTTCATATGCTACAAATATGCATGGTCTAAATTTAGAAAAAGGGAGTTGCCTTCAATGATCTTCACATTAAGTAACTGCAAAAAGTTAAACAGTGAGTTCAAAGTCAGGGAGCAATGACCAGCCGAGCTTTCATCTTTCCTGCACACCAAATGTCTTGGCGTGCATTGCAGCAGTTATGTCCCAGTGATGGGAGCTAGAGTGAAGTGTTAATGTGGCAAACTACTCAACAGAGAGGTTTTTCTGCACTTTTCCACTTGGCTTTGTCCTGACGAACAGTTGGCGTCTTCCCGCCGCGTTTCAGTTCAAAGCCTGTGCAGCGCTGCGTCTCTAAGCTGCGTCATGTTCTTCTGTCATTTCTCAAACTGCTTGGCTAAAACACACAATGCTTGAGACGATGTAAGGTTTAGCCTTGTTAAAGGTCTTTAGAAAAGAAATACATTCATTTCATGACTCAAGTCAGTGAACTTGTCCTTCATGTGTATGATACTGACAATAATCAACATCTAAGTTTTGTAGGATAATCCTGAGACATAAAACTAAGGGTGGATTGGAATGTCTTCAACAAGTTTCTATTGTCCTAAATCAAAGGGAGTCCCTGAAGAAAAGTCAAAGGTCGTTAGAGTCACTGAACTTTGTTCTCAAGAGACAGCCAATGAATTTCACTTCGTAAGTGGCAGAACTCAGTCAGGGCTAAAGTGGGGTGCAGATAGACAAACCGCCGGAAGGGCCTTAAGGATGCTAACGACCATTTATCACCCAAATAATCTCATCCTGTCCCTCTCTGGGTTCATGTTCAGACCTCAAGAGTCAGACTTGAAATCAGTTCCCATTGTGTGTGTGTGTGTGTGTGTGTGTATACCGTTTTTATTTCGAATTCTATTTTGGTTCGTCGTTCTCTTGTTACAAACCCATCATTCGCAGATCTAAAACGCACAGAAACAGCATGTGATCGTTTATTTGCACTGTGTTGCATCATCTTCCACACTCATTTAATTTGTATTTCTGTGTCCTGTGCATGAGTGTGACTCACCCGGTCTTGCTGTGTTCCAGCTGGTGTTCGAGGCTCTCCACAGTCAGGAACCGAGGGGTTACGTAGTTGGCTGGATCATTGCCATCAGTCTCCTGGTGGGAATCCTCATCTTTTTGCTTTTAGCTGTGCTGCTGTGGAAGGTAAAACTACACATGAACAGAGACTTAGACTTGTATTTTCATCTTGCAAGGAACTAAATCTTATGTAACTCAACAAATTAGCATGTTCTACGAAGATGCAGTGTGAACACTGAGCGCTCAGTGACTTTGCTAAAGTTTATTTAAAGCTAAACTACATTTTGAAGTTAAAATAATCCAAACAACAGCTAAAATTGGCAAAACAAAAGCTAAAACCTAAAGATAGCAACACATCTGAAACCTAAAACCAGCAAAATAGTAAGTAAAAGTAACAAAACAGTACATAAAATTACTAAAACAGGAGCTAAATATGCAAGTAAGCAGAGCAGTAGCTAAAAGCTAAAACTGGCAATGCAGTGTCTGGAAACTGAAACAAGCGAAATAGTAGGTAAAAAGAAAAAACAGCTAAACTTACTCAAACAATAGCTAAAAGCTAAAATTGGTAAAACAGCAGGTAAATTTTGATGGGGTAGAGGCAGGCAGCCGACTCAGGACTCGAAAGTCCCAGGTTCAATTCCCAGCCATTCCCACATGTCGTGTGTCTCTGCGCAAGACACCCAATCCCGAATTGCTCCCTGGGCAGCTCAACAGCTGCCCACTGCTCCACCTGGGTGTATCTCAGGTGCGATGGGTTAAATGCAAAGAACCAATTTCACCATTGTATGGAAACATACAATGATGACAACACTTTAGCACGTTATTATCTATTATTAAAAGCTCAAAATAGCTAAATTGAAGTTAAATGCTAAAACCAGAACCTTAGCTGAAAGCTAAAATGTGCACAAGTGTAAAAAAATATATAATTGAAACAGAGATATGCTAAGGTAGTATTTTTATGATTTGACAATATCCCAATGCATTTTTATGAGAAGAAATGTAAATAAAGTTCCAAAAACCAAAAGTTATAGTCCCAAACAAGTGGAAAGTTCTGATTTATAAAATGGTTCAAATAGCTGAAAGTATGCTGAAGAAGTTACAGTCAAAAACACATGTAGAAGGAGCTATAAACAGGAAAACAATAGTCTGAATGCTGCCTCAGCGTTCATACAATAAACACAAGACAGAAACCCACGAGACTGCCCGGAGCTTGGTGTTTACCTCTGGTTCGATGTCAGGACAGTATCCAGCTGAAAAGAGACAGCTGGAGGTCAGGGAACGACGTGGGGGCGAGAGCTTGCTTTAGGCCTCTGACAGCCATGAAAAGGACAAATCACAGACAGGACAGTAATTCACACCACGCCACTCACATGAAAGAAGATTTTAAAGTGGAAATGGCAATCACACTGATATCCAGGGGCCCTGTTCGCACAAAACGCCTTTTCTTTTCCTCCCCTTCATCTTCCACTGGGAATACCACAACTAAACCTTGGAATGTTGGTCCAGGGATACCCCCACCCCCCACCCCCTATTCTCCCAAGTCCTCTGATCCTGCCAAAATAAACCCCAGTTACAAGAGCGGCGCATGTCCTGTATTGCTCCAATCTGGAAATGCCGGAGGAGAGTGCAGATCTGGATCAATAAACATTTGTAGCCAAATACAGATAAGTGAATGGACTCGCATGGACTGAGCGAGGTCGCTCAGTGTAAACTAGTCTTTTCATACTTTCACATTCCCTCCTGTTACACTTGCTAAATGCAGATTTTAGATTTGTGAAATGTAAGCAGGTTCGTCGTCTTAAAGAAGCAACGCGTTTCTTCGAGGGAACGTCTTGATTTACATGCTCGTGGCTTTTTTTTTATGCTAACTTCAAAATGATGTATTCTTGAGGATAAGAGGACATGGCATGATGTTTAAACAGATTTCTTACCCCCCCCCCCCCCCCCCCCTGAGGAATTTACTGTCTCCTTGCCCCCGCTTCACTGCAGGAGAAATCTCAGCTTTCAGTGATTTCACTGAAAGATAAAATTCATCACGTTGAACTTGGGCTCGTACTCGTTATGCAGACTATTATTTTTGTAATACTGCGGCTGAAACAAGAGGCCGTTTTAGATGAGCTCTCACTGGTTGTGCTTTTAAAAACACACAGCTGCTCAGAGTCGTTCCTATTTAAAATCGGGACCTATTTAAAATTTTTGTTTTTCTGTAAAATCTTTCTAACAGTTTCCATTGTTGTCCCTCTCGCTGCAGATGGGATTCTTCCGTCGGCGCTACAGGGAGATCCTTGAAGCTGAAAAGAACAGGAAAGACAGCGATGAAAGCTGGGACTGGATGGACAAGGACCATTGAGACATTGAAATGAGGGGGGTGGTCCCAGAAGAGCCAGTGAGATTAGGGATTGGGTTGAGACGGATCCTATAGCACGGGGGTGCAGCCCAGCCGCCCCAGTGGCACCAGGTCCTTCATGTCTTTCATATGTGGAAGAGAAGTTTATTCTCCATATTTTTTGGAGACTGTATTTTTTGTGTGCAGGTGGTTGGGATGGGGGGTGGGGGGGGTTCTGATTTGACAGAGTGGCTCAAGTGAGGACCCCTGCTGTGGAAATCAGCAAGATGATGGAGTGGAGCTGTGCTGTAGAGCCACGTCTGTACGGGGAGGGCTGTGGAGACGGCACAAGTACTGATGGACAACAAAACCCTCAGGGCTGTGTTATATAGTAAATTTATTTTTATACATACACTTTAAGCCATATTATAAACCTGAGCTTTGGGTTTGAATGCTATTTTAAACACACTGTACCTGCAGTATGTTTTTTTTAAAGCACTGATGTTTGATAAGAATAAATGTTGACACTTTGTGCCAAAGACCTGTCCTGTACAGAACGCCACCGGATTAATTTTATATTTTCAGTTCGGCCCATCACTGGGAGCAGAAGGTTTTATCTTTTCTGTAACTTTTCCCTGTTTTACATGCATGTAAATATCAGAAATAACCAACCAGAGAAAATGTCTGTCATTAGATAATTATATTAAAAAAAAAAGATATTTCCAAGTAGGTTTTCCATCACGTGTCAGTTAACTGTACTGTAGAGCTCTCTGTTGATAATTTATTTGTGATTTTATTTTTATTTTATTGTCTAAAATGCAAATTTCACCATAAAAAAAAAAAATCTCCTAAGTTTTAGGTTTTCTGCCTGGTCAGGGATGGCTGAACCAAATTTTGTGGACAACTGTATACATTCAAACAGCGGTGCCACCAAGGGGGCACCAAGGCTAGTTGGCCCCCACACTGCCCCCCTGGTCAGACAGTTTTATACACATATTCTGTCTATTAGCAAAATATCTCATGATCCAGTGAACACATTTTTATCTAAACTTTCAAAGTAACTTTTAGAGTCAAGATGGCCACCACAGCTAACTTTAACAAACACCAAACTGGTTATAGTTCAGTCAATTTTACAGATATTGCGTGTTGATTTGGTGTGGCAGTAGCTGAGGATCATCTCCAATACGTACTCGAGATCTTTGTTTAAAGCTTTGGCATGTTAAGACAGCGGGCGTTTTGCATTCATTTAAAAAAATGCTCGTTTCAGTCATGAGCTGAATATTGACTGTGCTGTGCTCAGTTAATAAAATCAACTATTAAATAATACAAAACATAAACTACTGTAGGCTTATGTCAGATGGTGATTCCCTAACTCTCATATTGCAGATTTTTTTAATAGCCTGCAGTATTTACAGTATTAAAAACCTGAAATTATTTTCTGACTTTTGATTTTGGTGCCCCCCTCTCTCACATGGCCACCTCTGAAAACCTTCTGGAGGCACCCCTGGTTTGAAAAAGAAGCACAAAATAGGACCAAAATATCTGAATCTACAAAGCTAATTTTTCACATGGACCCCACAAACCTGCTCTGCTGTGACTTATGATCCTAAAGCTGGTCAGGATTTAACTCCAAAGCCTCCCCCTAAGCAGAGTACATTTACTTTTACATGTGTAATACTCAGCGAGGGTGAAATATGAGATCTCCATGGACGGATGAAAGTCAGCATCAGAAATTTATCTTCATTCTTTAACGGAAGCTTCTGGCCTGAGTAATGCTCTAAAAATATGTGGAGACTCGCTGAACTCGTACACAGAAACAAGCTGTTTGGAATCATTTTAAGTCCAAAAGGACGGGAAACGTTTCAAAGCTGAGGTCCTCGTGTTGCTAAGTGCTAAAACTAATGAGTATTTGACAGTTTGAAGGTTTCCAACACCATGAGCACATTGACAGTTTATTACAAAATAATATGTAACAGAAAAAAATCCATTGTACCCTTTAAAACTGAGACAGATTTGAAATCACAGCAGGTGAATAAGCCTGCTCAGTTCTCTACAGATCACTATTGTGTTCAAGCTGGACACTTTTGAATTCCACTGGCATAACCTTGTATACTGTGCACTTCTTCCCTCTGCACCAGTTTTAAACTTGTTACACTAATTGTATGAAAGAACCCAACACTTGACTTTTTTTTTTTTGTATAACTGTGATGTTTGCCTCCACCGTTGTCACGTCTTCTTTTGGACTTTTGTTCTGAGTAAACTACTGTCAGTATCATTTCTATTATAGTGTGCCGTACATGTTTGATGTTTAAAGTCATGTTTGAGCTGTGTATTTATCTAGTGATAAATTTCAGAGTGGAAAATCCAAACTGTTCATTTGGTCATTTTTTGTGTGGTCTGATGCTTTTTTAATGGAGTTTGGTGCTCTCTGCTGGTGGCGTTGCTGCTTAAACAATCAATGAACTATTGAAAATAATGTTTGCATAAATGAGCAGGTTCACGTAAGAGTAATTATTTTTCTTTCATTTTGATGCTGTTCATCTGACAAATTAAAGCTTCAACAAAAACTTTAGATATTTATTTCTAATCACCTTCAATTTACTGTTAAATCCTGTCAACAGCCTAAACCAGGGGTCTGCAACCTGCGGCTCTGGAGCCGCATGCGGCTCTTTGGTCCCTCCGCAGTGGTTCTTTCAAGCTTTGACCAAAACTGAATTTTATTGGTTGTTATACAAACAACAAAAAAGGATAAGTTTTAGCAGTTTTCCTGTCCTTTTTTTTTTTTGCAAATACATGAATACTGGAACAAGTACAAGGAGTTAAAGATGCTCACTTTAACTTTATGCTTTATTTCTACACTTAATTAATTTTTCTACAATTAAAAAAATTGCCTATGTCTGAATAGTTCATAGTTTTTAATCATTTAAAAAAGCCTCTCTTTAAAAGAACCTGGTCTTCTCATTTGTCTTAAATTGTAAAAATATAAATGATTAGTTATTTTATCTTTATAATGTCACTCCTAGTGGCCACAAAAGCCCCTTCCAACAAACCTAAAGTGGCCCATGGGCCACCAGTTGATAACCACAGTTGTAGCATGTTGTTGCAGCTCTGAACACTTTTAATTTAGTGAACGAAGGTGTAAAATGGCTCTTTTGATTATAAAAGTTGCAGACCCCTGACCTAAACAAATTACATTTTATATATATTTTTTAGGATAAAATGATTTTTCACTGCTCTGTAGAAATCTTGAGAATGAACTAAAATGTAGATTTTTGATTCAAACTTTGGGATAAAGACTTTTATTGAACTCTTATAAATCCTTTTACTATTAATTAAAAAGGATCACAGTATTAAATTATTATATGCACAGGTTTTAATGTTATAATTCTTATGTATTACAAGTTTTTATGTTCTATTACTTGGATTTATTTTATTTTATTTTTACCAGGAAGGTCATGTTGATTAATCGTCTCTTCTTCCATGAGAGTTCTTGTCAAGGTGGCAGCATAAATGTTTATTCTTCCATTTTAAGGAGATCCATCCCAAAAAGTCATACAAGGTGATGAATACATGAACCTGCATTTGTTGAAAACATCATATATAAGGAGCATAAATTAGTGCAAAAATCCAAATGCTTGTAGCTTCCATTACTATAACTTTGGTGTCCAACTCTAGACAAGGATTATATATTTATTTTTAAATATTCTGTTTGTTTAAATTTGGAAAAGTGCTCAAAATCTGAAGTCAAGTATATATATTTTTTTCATTCAACCTTTATTTATACAGATTAGTCCCATTGAGCCTCGAGGACTCATTTACAAGAGAGACCTGATTTTAACAAAGAATGATGACAACAATGGACAACAACAATAGAAAGTTATAAAAAGGCATACAGATTTATATATATATATATATATATATATACAAATAAGATGGCAATTACATGGCATTACATTACATGGCATATTACATGTTCTGACTAATTTTCAACTTAAATTATGTAAAATGCACTTTTTAAATTGATTCAGCAGTGAATGTTTGCTGAATGGAAGCCATTTAGACAAAAAGAAAATACAAAATTAAACTCCTCACAGTTCAACAACTACCAGAAATATAAAATACAGAAGCATGAGTCAATTACACCTGATGGTTGATTAATTGATTAATTTTGCAATTTCAATGCATGCAAAGGATACTCTTTAAAAAAAAGCCCAATATCATGTGATCAGGTGACTGCAGTTGCCATGAAACAGTGAAATCAAACACCAGCTGCTTTGTAAAGCTCAATTAATTATTAAATCCGCTTCAGCTCCACGTTTACAGCACGTTTGCTTTATTTTAACTCAGGAGAATCACCTTCAAAACCATGTCTTCGTTGTTGGAACATGGGTTTATCAGGACTGCGGCCGTGGAGAAGGTGGTGGCGCCAATCGCGTGTCATCTGTGTTACTTGGTGCTGCTGTGTGACAACGCAGAGGAACCAGAACTATTTGGCCAACTGGAGGTGGAGGCTCAGGTTGTGGCTAAAGCCACTGAGAACATGGCAGCAGTGGTCTCCAGGTAAGAGGTGATACAAACGTCTGTAATAGTTGTTAGATTCTTACAAGTAACTTATGATAAATACTAATATTTACTTCTAGGCAAATAAGTGAGACAGAAGATGAAGTTTTGGAGATGGAGATGTCGTCTCTGCTCGAGTCGTTCAGTGTGTCCGGGCAAAACGTGCTGCTGGCAGCTCAGAAGCTCAGCATCCAGCCCAGTTTACCCGAGCACAGAGAGGAGCTCATCGCCGCTACACAAAACGTCTTCCTGGGAGTAATCAGAGTACACTTTGAGTTTCTTTTTTCTCCTTTACTTGGAAAAACGATGAAACAATAAAATTCTCCACGTACTTTGATGGTTTCTTCAAACAGAAGTCAGAATGGAGGAATGCTGCAGACTAACATTCGACGGTTTGAATAGCTGAATCTGTATTTTACTTTGTTAGAAGTTTCCATTAATGGAATCAAACTGCTCACAGGAGA